TTATGATGTCAGCACATGCACATGAGAGTCAAGAGGAAATGACATCACTGGAGATGACGGAATGGTCCTCATGAAAGGCGGCGTACAAAGAGAAGTGGTAGCGAACACTAAACAAATATACAGTGCACATCACTGCACACGGTTTGACCCACCACATTCGCTGCACTCGCTGTGCAATGGGTCCATTGTCTATTGTCACTTGGGGCAGCCAGTGGAGGCGAGATGTTAACTCCCTCGCCTGGTATGCAGGAGCTCGTGGGTTTGCTCCCATACCGTGTCAACCCATACGGTTTACCCGTATTCTTGTACGGGAAAATTGAGTTTCAGGTCCATATGGCGTACATTAACGGGCAAAAAAAAGTGTTTTTACCTATTTGTTTGTGTTTCTCCCTTGTGATGGGACTTTGTAGGATGAACGTTGAGATTTATAAGAGGCACGGGGTGACCAATAAGGTCTGAATTGGTCTGTAATAAGGTCGGGCACTGATAAGGGGTTGACAAGAATGCTATCCCGACCCTGACGATGCCTGTATATTTGGAGTTTGCGTGTTCTCTTTTCTTACGTGGTCGCATGGATTTTTCTCTGGGTCCTCCGGTTTTTTCCCTCCAACTTTAGAAACATGCGTTTAAGAGTATTTGACTGATATAAATTTGCACATGATAAGCCACTTCATTGAGCTATCATTTGTGGCCAGGTTGCTTCTGAAAAAGACCTATATAGCTCAGTGGGCCTTACCTTGTAAAATAAAAAATGCTAGTAAGTTTCACTCTACAGCATGCTGTGGTAGCACGCGACTCCTGCTCAAGCAAAGAAAAAGATGCTATCTCAGGCTTGCCCCAGGAGGACATCCGGCAAGGAGATGGAGCGATTGAAATCAGCTTGTGTGCCCGTGGATTATTACATCACAGGATCGTTACAAAATTATGACAGCTTGGGCACGTGTTTATCAAGCAGTGGATTGATCGTGGCTGATGCTCATATAGATAAAGGCTTAGGAGTGTTCAGTAATGCCAGCTGGTGATTGATTGAATGATTGATAGGCACCTAATAATGAACTGTCACGATTCGTGGATCGAGATTCGATTCAAGAATGTATTATTTTGTCTCCTTTGTTCAGTCGAATTTTTATCATCTGTCTCATTAATTTTAATTCGCAAGATGATATGTGACTATATGTTCCCTATGTCAATTTACTTTTGGATGAAGACCATTAAAATCATGGGGATTGTTCTACTCTAACTCACTGCACTATCACTCCTCCATAAGTAAAATGATCAATTTATAGACAGGCGATAGAATGTAAGTATCGCGTGCATTCGAAATGATCAATTAATTGTTGCCAAATAATTTAAATCAGATAGTGATGATATAAGCAGAGCTTCTCCACCAGAACTCCAAATTAAAAGGGACTACAGTTTCTAAAGAGTCTGATGAGATCTCAGCTCTGGTACTCAATGTGCAGGATTACATCACCATCTAGGATTAAAATAATCCAGAATACACCAGAAATCTCAGACGCTAAGCAGAGCTGATCCAGGGTAGTCCTTGGATGGGTGGCTACCGTACACGCCAGGTTGTCATAAGCGTCTGCGTGGCCATGGTAAATCAAATGTTGTACTGTACTTGCATCTACATCTATGTTTCCCCCCTTATCACCAACCGACACTAACCACCGCAGTGCAGTATGATCCAATAGACCCGATGACCCACACAGTGATGGGAAGGCACTCATCCAGCGGTGTATTTATAAAAGGGCTGGACATGTGCATGTACATACATCACCATCTCCATGACAGAATCAATATTTGAACCGTGCATACCACACGCGTGTGCACGAGCTAGCTTGAACTGCAAAACCCACTGTGGAGTTTGTTGTTTGGTTTTTAAAGCTCAGGTCAAGGACCTGTGTGTGTGTGTGTGTGCAGCAGCTCCGATAAGCACGGTTGGCTATGTATGGTGCGAAAGCAGTTCAACATACATAATTACAGCAGCGACCTGACCCAACCTCAAGAGCTACTGCGATACACTCACTCAACAACCATAACCAGTAGGCATGCAATGCAACAATTGTACTCCCAGAGTGGCAACGGGAAGAATTGACGCGATGCGGGGACCGCGATTCAGTTTACAAATGTAATTCATCGTTCCCTCCTTCATTTTCCCACCTCATTTGTATTGTTGCTGACTTTGCGATGCACCGCTTTGTTTACTTTTGGTTGCTTCCGTTGGTTTTCATGCTGCCGTTGTTGCAATGGTCAGCACGCTGCACTTGCAAAATCCAGAGGTCACCAGTTCAATTTTATCTCCTGGCGCGGCAATTGAAACAACTGGCACATTTCTTAAGTCCCCCTACCAGCCTCCGTGCAGACAGCAGCATAAATAAGTACGCTGCAGCGAGTCGAATGGCAGGTCACGTGTGGTGGTGTAAAGTGTGGACACTAGCACCTCTTCTTCACCATTAGCCTAAATGTAACATTATCCTATTATTGACATATAACCCATTTAAATCATTAATACGTGATTATTACCGACATAGTTTGCAGTATTATGAGCATAAGCTTCGATTTCAAATGACGAGTATAAAATTAAAGTGCCAAGTATTTTCCATCATTTCTATTTCACGTGCAACTTCCACTTCCTTAAGAGGCTATCAAGAAAAAATATTTGAAAAAAAATAAGAGTGACCATGGGAAGAAATGAAATTAGTCTTAACTTTGATATATATAGCATTCAAGAAAACCGCTGCCAAACAGAATATTTTTTCTGCAGAACGCGTATATTTTTGTTAATAAATTTATAAATAAAAAAATTAAGTGCATTGCTAAATAAATATTGTACATTACACAAACGGTTACGAAAATAAACATTCTTTCAGTCCAATTTGGGAGAATTAGCCAGCATTGCGGCTTGGTGAAAATCAATTTGTTAAACGTTATTAACAAATGTATACTTGCTTACACGGCAGCAAATTCATCTTAATTACTGCGTATTTATATAAATGTATCTACGCTCGGGGAAAAAGTCACAACGCTGTGGGTAAAATATATCGACAAAGAGGTATCGCTAAGTAATGCTATGCTCCATTGAAAAAACACAACACCCGATATTTAAGTGACTAATAAAAACAAGTGACAGTTTCAAAACACCAACATACCTAGTATGTGTCTTTTATACGTATTCATACACAACAACAATACGCACACTGGCTACATAAGGTACGGAAGAAGTTAAACATACATCCAAATATATTAACGCAAGCGCAAACAGAACATAAGCACAATGCCTGAGTTTAAGTAAAAGCTACCATCCCCTGGGCGTAACCCATTCTCAAGAATGTGCTCGGTATATAAACAGAACACGTAAAGGTGCCCCCATTCGAGGAGGCTCTAGAGAGCTTCTCTAGAGCGCATTTTGGTTGAATATCCCCCACCGGCCGGACGTTTTGGAAGAGGTGGGAGCACACCGCTCGACTGTGGTGTACCTATCGTATGATGTATACTGCTGGGTTGACAAGAGGCAGGGGCGCGGGGAGGAGTAGGATGTAATAAACTTGCCCGTTGTTTCAACTGCTGCGCTGGGAGATCAAACTGGCGGACCTCTGGATTGCTAGTCAAGTGTGCTCACCATTTACACCACGGGGGCATCTCAATACTTATATGCAATGACCGAAAATAAGAAGCGCTCACCCCAAAGCCAATGTGCAGCCGAACCGTCTTTCAAAAAGTAGGCCAAGGCCTCCTATTGGCGGGAAGAGACCTCCACGATGATCGGTCGGGAGGCAGGGTTTGAAAAAATTGGAGGAAAGATTCAAACGGGGGGGAAAGCGGGAAACAGAGTTGACAGAGTTGACAGAGTTGAACCAGGAGGCAACGGTTGAGGAACCGTTGGAGAAGGACGGGGGATTGGCTCCGATAAAAAAACAGTGAGGAAATTTCCGAGAAAGGGGGCTTCAGGAGGATAAAACTGGAGAGCACGAGGGGAGGGGACGTTCGAGGGAAGGGACGAGCTTCAAGACCAAGAAACGAAGCCCGGGCCTAGTGTTGTTGCTGTGCTAATAATAAAGAGGCTCCCAGCATACAGTCGTCGGTGTCACTAGACATACAAGGCACATTTATTTCATATACACCTGCACTGAAAATGCCATGTGTTTATTGTAAATGTAATGAGCGACTTTCAGCCCTGTGCCAATCCACTGCCAGATGAAAGCTTCCCCACAATGCATCGGTTATGGGGTTTGTTGACCATACCTCATCACACTGGTTAGGCATTTTAAAGGGAGGGTGGCGGCTTTATTGGCAAACAAGCCTGCTAGGTTATAGCACAAATTAAGGGAACGATTCAAACCTTCATTGATTAAAATAAAGTCTCGGGCTCGCAGTACACGCATTAAACTATGTAAGAAGTGAAATTTTATGATTATTTTATTTTATTTTCCCTCCACTTACCGTTTAGTTACTATTCAGGACAAATATACCATACAAAAGAAAGAGGCAGTAAAGACAATACTACACAAAAAGATGACACAATGGAGAAACATCATATACATTATACAATTCAAATAAAACAGTATAAACGGGACAGTACAATAGGGAGGTAAAAAAACAAGTTAGAAAAAATCATCCATACACATGGGTGAGGTAACTTTTCGAATATTCATGTGTCCTCAGAAGTCTTTCATTGACAGACAGCTGTCAGTATGCCAGCCATTTTTTTCTGTGGTTTGTGCCTCTGGCGTTTTGGGCAGCCCTTCGATAATTTTGGGCGGCTTTCAATAAGGCAAGTCCCGAATAGCAAACGCAACTTTATATTCCAGTTTGGACTTTATACTGGATCATATTCACGAGCATTGTCATGAATTCATTCCTATTCTTAAGATAAAATTGCAGCAATTCATCAATTCGCGAGAAAAGGGGGGGGGGGGTAGATGGGTACATCATTACTCCGAGTGAAATTCGCAGCACGGACAAACGGCGCCTTGTCTCGGCGTTGCGCTGCTGACCTGGGCGCTGTCCTTCAGCTTGAGGATGCACTCGATGGTGTTGATTGCGATGACCACGGGCTCCGAGCCGAGCTTGGTCCACGGAACGTGGATGCGCAGCTCATGGATGTGGCCGCTCAGGAAGGTGAAGGGCAGCTTCAGCTCCTACAGGGGGCGCGAGGCGGACAAGCGGATAAACTCAACGCACGTGTCAGAGTCTTGATTTAAACTGGAGGAATCCGATGAACTATGAAGATCTTTTGATTTAAAGCTTTCGTGACTGCAGGGATTCATATTATTGGTTCTTTCGGTAAAGTCACGTAGAAGGGAAACAATCAAATTATCACGACGTTTCGACTGCAACACAAGCAATCATCATCAGGTGTGAAAACCACAGCAATATTTTTTTTCTTGCTGTGGTTTTCACACCTGATGATGATTGCTTGTGTTGCAGTCGAAACGTCGTGATAATTTGATTGTTTTATATTTTTATTATTTTATTGTTTCTCTTATACGTGACTTTACCGAAATAACCAAGAATATGAAGATTTTTGTTCACAAATGTCCAGTATCTTCTTGGTTCTTTCAGTAAAGTCACGTAGAATGGAAATAAAATAATAAAAATAATAAAAATAAAACATATTATTATTTTATTTCCATTCTACGTGACTTTACCGAAAGAACCAAGAAGATGAATCCCTGCAGTCACGAAAGCTTTAAATCGAAAAATGTCCAGTAGTTTCACAGAAGTAGTGCACCAACACACGTCCAACCCAATCAGTCTCAGTACTGTATTTTCTTGTGTTTGGTAAGTTACTTCATACCCTTGATATAACCTATGAGTTTTTTTAATACAATATGAATCGCTCAGTAGTCGAAAATACAATTTCAAGCTGTAATTTGGCATAATTTTACCTTCACGGAAATAACGGTGTTTTAAGAAACGAATATACCCCACCCTTGAATTAGGCCGGTGTTGCACAGCCACACTTTAAAGTGCAAGACAGCCCTCATGTACAGAAAAAATGCACGGTAGAGAACGGAGCGAGACACGGGGCGGTGAAACATTCTTAGCGCTTGTTGCGATTCGAGCCTGACGGCCACATCGATTAATACTGCGGAGGCATTCCTATTAATCATGACATACGACACGCCATCGGCTCCGCAATGGATGTTAAAGATTCTGTGATGGTATTCGAAAAATATAAGGCCGTGTGTTGTGGTGTCGCAACCCAAATTTTGGTAAATTTGAAAAATTACTTGCAAATGTAATTTTTCATACCATACCTTGCTACACTATTCTCACCTTGCACTGAAGCTCATGGTAGAGCCCTACACTGCAGCATCACTCAAACTGCTTCGGATCACAAGTTCTCGAACTGTTACAGCTTCATGTCGGTTCGCTGCTGTTGCCTCCTCAGTGTGGAACTCTACCCCTTTGTGCATCTGCAACATCAAATGCACTCTAACTTCCAGGAAACATCTAAAGGCCTCTATCTGTTTGGTCAGGGCTTTCCAGCAGCCCTGAGCTTGGCTCCGCGCCTCTGAGTTGTTGACTTGTCTGCAAAATCTGGCGCGCTATAAATGTCATTGTTATTATTGAGAGAAAAAAGCACCACACAACATCGCTTCCTGTTGGCAGACTTCGCCGTTAAACGCAGCAACCTTCTTGATATACCCTGGCACTCTTAAGAATGGCGCGTATATAGCAAATGTACTAATTATTTAGATAACCAGGTGCTCGAGTGAGCCATGTGCCATGCAGGTGCCACTGCCTACCTGCTCCAGCACCTCCAGCCTGAGCTCCAGCTTGTTGAGTACCACATCGCCGCCCCACAGAGACAGCTGCAGGTCCGAGGGCTTCAGGTTCTTGATGTAGCGATTAACATAGGACATCAGGATGGGGGTCACGTATGTCTCCAACATCTTGGCGGATGCCCTCGCTGTTCACACACACACACACAAAGTGCATCAATACCCAGTGTTTAGTGATATAGTGCTTTGGTAAGTGTTATGAGCATCTATGAAGGCTAGCATACAGCACGTGAGTGGAGTGGTGTTGCCAGGGCCAAACATTATGTACATCTACCCAGTGCCAATGCGTACACACCGCACCGGGTACTGATTGAAGGTTGAGTTGACGTAAGGGAGGACCCAGACGAGTTCAGAACGTTGATTTAGGACAGGGGCGGGCAGAGAAACCGTTATTTGGGTTAACTGAGGGAAATTAAGTTATCTGGACTAGGTCAACAAATGTCCCACGTCAAATGTGACCGTACAGGTGATGGCAGTGCGAATGCTTCCTGTTGTTCATTTACATTGTGTAACTACTGACGCCAACCTCTGAATAAACCTCTTAACACCAGGCTTTAACTCAAACTTACTTCAATAATAAAAACCGGTTTTAGACGAAACACTGAACAGACGGCCTTAGCCACAATCATGAGCCATGGGTTTCATACAAACTCCTATTCCCCTTCCTTAGCTGACAAGCAAAACATGCAGGTTTAACCCAAATTGCTGGGTTTAACTAGAACCCTGAACCCATCAACTCTAGAAATGAGCCCCAATGATTTATCACCAACCCTGGGTTGAGCTAAACAAACATTAGGTTTAACCATAACCACACTAGGTTTAACCAAAACCCATCATCCCTGGATTTAACCCAAAATGCGAATTTAACCTCTAACCTTGAGTATTATCAAAACTCATAACTCCTTTGTTTAAAACAAACCCCTGGGTTTACCAATACACCAGCAATACTTGGGTTTAATAAACACCAACCCCTGGTTTAAATTAAATCCACAACCAAATGGGTGAATATAAAACCATCAACGTGAGGACTTAATGCTGGTCTAGGGTTTTACTCCAGACCTGGGATTAACCCCCCTAACCTGGGTTGAACCCCCAGACCCAGGTTTATCTCCTAACCTGAGATGAAGCACAGACCCGAGTTTAACCCCAAACCTGGCTTGAACCAGTCCTGGGTTTAACCCCTAACCCGGGTTTAACCCCTAACCCGGGTTTAACCACAGACCCGGGTTTAACCACAGACCCGGGTTTAACCCCTAACCCGGGTTTAACCACAGACCCGGGTTTAACCACATACCCGGGTTTAACCCCTAACCCGGGTGTAACCCCTAACCCGGGTTTAACCCCTAACCCGGGTTTAACCCGTCACGCCACCACCGCACGTCTTAAGAGACGTGAGAACTTAGCGCGCTCGAACCCGCGTGCGTGGTTCTGACCTCGCGGGGAGACGCGTGCCAGCAGGCAGCCCTGCGTGCAGCAGAGTCTGTGAGGCCCCTAGTTTGGCCCGAGGATCCCAGGCGACCCGGTGTGTGTGTGTGGGTGTCGGTGTGGGGTAAAGGGGACCGAGGGGGACCCTGGGCCTCGGCTTCTCCACGGGAGGCAACCGCGCGGCTCCGACAACCCCCGAACCTGCCAGCACGACTCCTCCACATTCCCTACAGCGGACGCGCGCGATTGCCCCTCCTCCCCGCCCGCTACGCGCCTCGCTATTGGCCGGCGACGCCGGGGCGAGGGCATCGCGAGCGCGCGCGCGCTCACCAATTGGCCGACGGTGATGTAAGGGGGGGGGGCGCCTGAACCGCCAATGGGATGCGGCAAAACGCCCGCCCGCGCTAGTGCAGTGTGTGGTTTGTAATGTGATGGTGGTGCGGTGGTGGGGGGGGGGGCACTGTGGAACGAGGCAGTGACGCGGCCGCGCGCGCGGGTTCCGGGGTGGCGCAGGTGTAGCAGGGGGCGGGGCGGGGGGACTCGTGACCCCCGCCCCAACAGAGGGGGTGGGGGTTAACCTAAATCTTGACTTAAAGCTTTCGTGACTGCAGGAATTCATATTCTTGGGTCTTTCGGTAAAGTCACGTTGATAGGTTCAAAGAAAATAACAAAAAAAATAACAAAACACACCTGAAGACGATTGCGCTTGTGTTTGCGATCGAAACGTCGTGCTATTGTTATTATTTTTTTATTTAAAACAATTTATATCTACGTGGCTTTACCGAAAGACCCAAAGAATATAACAAAAAAAACCCGCTCGTTATTTTCTTTTAACCAATAAAACAGGTGTTAAGATGTTAAAACACCAAACCGAAACCTTTGCAAGGAATCCTGTCCGCATCAACCACACATACTTATAATGAACATGCAAGCAACAACAATAATCATGCTCTGACAGTACGTGCGTTGTCTTTAAAACTGCGTGGTCCACACCAGAGACGGCTTTCTTTTGAGCCTCGTCTCAAAACGGTGTTAGATCAGAGGACGCCACATGGCGTACAGCACGAAGACAACGCCACTATCAGGGTATTGAGAGCTCGGGGTGAGCGGCTATATCATGGGACCTCTTTTGCCAGTACCAAAATATGAGAATAGGTTTTCCCCTTTCTGGCAATCAGTTTCAAAGACAATGCGAAAACCGTCAGAGTATGTTTTTTTGTTTACATGTTCACCCCAAGTAAATGTGGTTTATGCAGTGACATGATTCCTTGCAAAGGTTTCAGTTCGGTGTTTTAACATCTTAACACGACTGTTTTATTGCCAGAAAGGGGAAAACCCTATTATCATAATTTAATACCGGCAATGGAGGTCTCATGATGTAGCTGCCCACCCCGAGCTCTCATTACTCTGAGAGTGGATTGTCTTTGTGCTGTTCGCCTTGTGGCGTTCTCTGGTCTAACATCGTTTTCAGACGAGGCTTTAAAGAAAGCTGTCTCTGGTGTGGACCAATCAGTTTCAAAGACAATGCACGTACTGTCAGAGCATGTTGTTTGTTGTTTACATGTTCACCACAAGTATATGCTGTTAATTCAGACATGATTCCTTGCAAAGGTTTTATTGCCAGAAAGGAGAAAGCCCTATTATCATCGGGTTTACCTCTTAAGTTGATTAGGGGGGGTTAGGCCAATGTCATATCAGAGGGTTTACCTCTTAAGTTGATTAGAGGGTTTAGGCCAATGTCATATCAGAGGGTTTAGTTTTGACCTAAAACTTTCGTGACTGCAGGAATTAATATTCTTGGTTCTTTCGGTAAAGTCACGTAGATAGAAAATAAATATAAAAAATATATAAATGTAAAATAAAATGTATAAATTGAAAGTAATAAAAGCAAAAAACCCACGACGTTTCGATCGCAACACAAGCGGTCTTCATCAAGCGGAGAGAAGAGAGGGGGCAAGCCTCCAAATGCGACTGCGGGGGACGTGAGCTGGGCGGAGGAGGGCTGCACGGCACAAACAGCATGGGCGGGGCAGCCAGTCAGCCAATCAGCCAGTCAGCCAATCAGCCAGTCAGCCAATCAGCCAGTCAGCCAATCAGCCATCAGCCAGTCAGCCAATCAGCCAATCAGCCAATCAGCCAGTCAGCCAATCAGCCAATCAGCCAGTCAGCCAATTAGCCAGTCAGCCAATCAGCCAGACAGCCAGTGCCAATGTCGGAGTAGACAATGGGGGGAGGAAAGGGATAGAGACAGGGAGAGAGAAAGGGGGGGGGGTAGGAGGAAAGAGGGGGTAGAGATGGGGTGGGGGGCATTGCACCTCGCTACACACATCCACACTGCTGACGGTAGAGGTTGACAAGAAAACACAAATCAATTCACGACCCAAAGTGAGTGCTTGATGACATCTTTCCAATGATTGCTTAGTTTATAACCGTCGTCTCGGTTGCAATTGTGTCTGTATATAAGGATGGTTTCGTGAATGAATATTTGTTGATAGCCAGTCGGCTTGCAGGCGGACGGCCAGAGGCCAATGTCATCATCAGAGGGTTTACCTCAAAAGTTAATTAGAGGGTTTAGGCCAATGTCATAATCAGAGGGTTTACCTATATGCCACAGGAGTGGTTTCTTTTTAACCTTGCGTCAAACAAAGGCTATTGGCCAATGTCTCTTAAGTTAATCAGAGGATTTATGCTAATGTAATATAGGAGGGTTTGCCTCTTAAATTAATCAGAGGGTTTATGCCAATATCATATCAGAGGGTTTACCTCTGGGCCACGACAGAAGTTTTACCTCTAAAAGTTCATGTCTATCAGAGGTTGTAAGCCTATGTCAAATCAAAGAGGTTTACCTCTAGACCACACCAGAACTTTCGATGATACAAAATAATTCGCGTCGTGGATCATGTCAATAGCAAAACACATAAGCAGACAACGCCTCTTCCATGTCTGTGTAATATTTTCCAATTTTCACGTGACATTTGGGTTTTTTTTCTTTTCGGTAGTCTGGTTCCTGTTTGCTTCGATGCAAACGAGGTTTCATCCCGGCACTCCTGACTTCTCACCTGGGTTGCGAAAAATGAACGTAATACTTACTGTACATAGGCGTTCGCTATCATCAACGTTACGATTTATTATACAGTAATCAGTTACTTTTGATCGCACGTGAAGGAGCTCGCAAAAGTGACGTCACCACATCTACCCCTCTATTCAAGGAACGAAACACGAGGATTTCTCCACAAATCTGGCTGTCCGCGTGATGATGCTAGCTGTAATTACTGGCGAAACGTCGTGCTCAGATTGTTAATGGTGCGGTTTTGCTCTCCAACGCACCGGTGTGCTGTACTAGTAACGAATTGGCGTGTTCTGTTTACGTGACAAACCTTTACTAATTGGCTGTGTCGGGTTGTGGCGGGTTTAACGACACATTTATATTTACGCGTTCTAACAAAAAAAAACTCTATTATGGAGTTCCTTTTGTGTTAGCTCGAATAGGTAAAATGTCAGTGTTCAATATAACCAATACCCGCCAATCGCCACTAAGTGACGGCAACGTCACCACGGCGCCTGTGCCAGGCTAGGTGCACTTTGAGGCTGCCACGTGAAGTGTCGGAAGGCTTCGCTGACAGGAGGAGGTCTCGGAACAGACCCAGCAGGTGCCATGGGTTGGCTGACTGAAATGACCGGTAGATGCACCACCAGCTGTACCCCCGACTGTGCCAACTTGCTGCGTTTTGACCGTCTGCTCGTTGTTGTGAGCATCGCTCTTCTGCCCTCCGTTGTTGCTGGAGGGCGACTGCCTCCAATTGTCCAGTAACAGCGTCCTTCACGAAATATAACCCTCCACCACCCGACAGAACCAATAAAATGAAGTCGCCGCTTGGAAAATAAATGATTATTGATTTTCAGCAAATCGTAGGAATGTTGAAAAGAAACCAAAATCTTAACAATTTGACGCGATGTTTTCAGAATCAGAATATGTATTCATACTGGAGGAATCCGATGGACTTTCCAGTTCTTTTTCACAGATGTCTAGTAGCTTCACAGAGGCAGATTTAATCCAGAATCGTGCAAGAGCTAAGCTATTGTTAACCCCTGATGATGTTGGATGTAATCTCCAGCATATATAATTGTGGAAATTGGACTTGCTTTCCAATGAGCTCACATACCAAATCAATGTATATATATGCCCCTATGAAAACTTGATTTTTAATGGCTCTGCTGGAGGATTATGGTTAAATGCTGACATTGTACCGACACAATCTAACCCAATAGAAACTATTTATGAATTAATATCCACAACATTGTACAAAAATTGTAAATGTTGTGGATATACTCTCCAACACATCGGTGTGCCGTACCCGTAACGAATTGGCGTGTTCTGTTTACGTGAGACAAACCTTACTAATTGGCTGTGTCGGGCGGTGACGGGTTTAATGACTTATTTATATTTCTGCGATATAACCCAAAAACCCTCTATTATGGATGATATAATCTCATCAGCAGAGTTGGGTTTGTTGCAGTTCAAGGTCAGTGCTTTGAGCACAATTCAGATCAAAGGTTTTACCTCTAAAGAACTTTGGTGGTTTGAGAACAAAGTCCGATCAGAGGTTTACCCTCAAGGTCAGCTCAGAGGATTTTACCACTAGGTCAGATCATAGTTTTCTATCTCTTACATTTAAAGGACGGCTTATTGACCATTCTAATGTGTAGCTTCAGGCGGATGTATTTCTGCCTGTCTGAGTAAACATTGCAATAATGGCTTCAGCGCGTGGTTAAATAATTTTGTGAGGTCATCCTCTGTCCTTTTTAAAGTGTATCTTTATTACCTTGAAAGCGATTTTGCTCACATTATTTATCCAGTATAGATTTTCACCATCTGAAAGGTTTGTTTTGCTTTTCATTGACATTTAAGTGCTAAGATCTTCAAACACCAAAATAGATACCTATTGCAAGGCATCGCGTCTGGATTAGCCACACATACTTGTGGCAAAAACATGCAAACAAGCAGGCTCTGATCATTTTCTGATACTGTAAAAAATGTGCCGTAGATACATCACGAGACATTAAATATTCTAATGTTGTCAGTTGTCCAGCTTGTTGTCGTTCCCCCGCGATTGGCTACGTACGGTGCGAAAGACGTTCAACATACACACAATATAGCGCTCAAGACAACATATTTACACGTGGTCCTCCCCTCGGCTATGATTGTGAGATGTACTTTTCCCATGATACGTCCCAGTTTTTTGTATTTTAGACGTCGCAACCCGA